CATTATTTCAGAAACTCCAAGAGGGGACACAAGCTTCTGAAGCCCTTGGGAGGTGGAAGCAGTCACGCTGTGGTTCTGTCTATGCATGTGAACATGTATACGCCTCTTCTCCTATTAACCTGCTTTTTGCCGGTTGAGATTTCAGAGAACCTTCAGAGAGCAAAGGGGAAATCTTCCCTGGGTTCTAACAGCCCCCACAAGGGTGTCGGAGTGGCATGCAAGCCAGAAAAGGTAAAGCAAAATAACAAATGTCAGCCCTGAGGTAGCATGCGCTACCTTTCAATGGCAACAAAGGAATGGCCCTCAAGCAGGGCTGCAGATCGGTGTTCATGTAATGAGGGACATCCCTGCTGGGTCTCTTGTCTCTCCTTCTTCTCTCCCTCCCGCCCCCAGTTACCCGCTGCTGGGCCCAGGCCAAGGTTTGGTAAGGGCCGCTGGCTAAGGAGAGTAGATCGGAAACTGTGTGCGAGTGTGTGAATGCTAAGAATTGCACTGAGAAAAATCTTTCCCTGTAAAAATGTATTTACTGCTTTTACTTTTTTAACTGTAAGATTCTCAGGGTTGTGACTGAATGTGTATTGAGATGCTCTGGGGGATGTCCAGGAAGACCCCATCCATGCTTCCTTTTCTCCTGGAGTCAGGTGAACTATCCCACAGACACTTGACAGTGCAGGTCTCTTCCAGCGAACACTCGCTCTGAGGGACAGCTGAGCTGCTGTGACCCTTCACCCATGTGGCCAAAGTGCATGCACTGACCGAAACTTCCTTCAGGTGAATGAAAACACCCCTCCGTGATAAGCACTAGGTCGTGAGAATCCTTGGGAAGCACTCGGTATACAGAAGAAGCTGACACCGAAACCGTCTTCTTGATTCCAGGGAGGGCTCTTTCTCTCAACATGTCTTTTATCCTTGCCACCACCCCACAGTTTCTCATGGCTTCCATAAAACCATCTGACGCAGTGTAGTTTTGAACATTGCTTACTCATCCTGGCTCAGCCTCCTACCCAGGTGCAAATTCTATGAGAGGATTATCCTCCTCCTCTTTCTCTCTCCTGTCTCCCCAGAGGCTTTTCTACACAGACACTCCTCTGCTTGGCATCTGTCCCGGGCACCAGTCACGATGTGGCAACGCTCACTCCCTTCTGGTGCTTGATCAAACATCAAGGGCCTTCACCTCCATGGGAAGAAGACAGAGTTCGTGATCTTGATTTCTTGCTTCTTTTTGTCAATTTCCCTTCTTGAATCTCCAAGCTGCAAGATAGAAATAGAAGCCACATAGCATTTACCCTAACCCCACCTTGCAAGATGGCATGTGTTTCACTTAGAAAGAATGTTATTATAAGAGAAAAAAAAAATCCTTCATTCGATCAATTCTCCAGCTGTGACTGGGTTGAGTTTCACTGTATGGGCTGAGTCCTCTGTCCCTTAGGCTAAAAATTTGTTGACAGTCAGGAGGCAGTAAACATTTCCAGAGCTCCTCATCTTCCTAGAAAGCCCCAAAGCCTCCACCACCCCACTTCATGGCTCACACTTCAGCACCATGTCCTGCCAGGACATCCTCAGGGATAATGGCCCTGTATTCTTTACCCCTATGCATGTCAGGCGTCCAAGGGGCCCAGGGCTCCAGGTTCATTGCTAGAGAATCTTGTTCCTCTACTTTTCCGACTATTTTTCACACTTCCCCTAATTCTGAAACCCTTTTGATATATCTCGCCACGAAATCCCAAATCCTCCATTTCTGTTAACTTTCCAGCCCATGCCAATCCCCTTTCTCTCCAATTTAAACTTCTGGCTTGCCTTGAGGATGCTTTTTTGTTTTCTTCTTCCAGCAGTGCTCCTAAGAGGAGGAGCTGGTTGCCTCCCTCCATCTTTCTAGGGAGCATGGGGTGGGGGACTGGTGTCTCCTTCTCCTCATTGGCTCTTCTAGCCAACCTCCTTCCAGTTTCTTAAAAGTACCCATCTTTCCCTGTAGTTCCAGTTATTTGGAAGACTGAGACGGAAGGATCGCCGGAGACCAGCAGGTCAAGGCTGCGGTGGCCGGGAGCATGTCACTGCACTCCAGTCTAGGCGACAGAGTGAGACTCCAACTCAAAAAACAAACAAAACAAAACAAAACAAAAAAACACCTGCCTTTCGTACTTCCTTTCCTTGTGGTAGTCACTAAGTCATCCACCCCCTAATCACTGCTAGATTTCGACACCTCATTCTGGAAGATTTTGCAGTAGTACTTCTGCCATCCTTCCGGGTGTTTCCAATATCCTCATAGACATCACAACCTCTGCTCTGGTCACTTGCCTCCTTGACCTTCTTTGCTGTCATGTGAGTTGTTTCATCCAAAGAAATGCCTTCCAGCTTCTGCCCCACTAGTCTTTACTTTCCCAGTTTAATTCTGGCTGTTTCAGAAAGAGGCAATAGCTGAAACGAAGGCAAGAATACAGGAGTTATCCATGACCCCTGGCAAGTTTTTCTGGCAAAAGAGATTTAAGAAAATAAGATGGAGATAAGTGGAAAATTGATTGGGGCCTTGATATAAGGGAAAAAAGTAATACAAGTGGGGATGGGTGTTGAGAATGAAGTTTGTTATCTGTCTGCTTGGGGCAAGGTGGCAAGTTTTGTTCATGACATTCTGAACTGGGTCTTTTTGATAAGATTTATGAGGAAATGAAGGGTGAGGACCTTGACCTTAACTCTGGTCCTGTAGAAAACTTAGTGTTCAGAACTGACCAGCTATTATCAAGGACACATTGGCATGATTCCTTTTTTATCTTAGTCAAGTGTGCATAAGAAAATGTGATGAGAAAGATTTGCCTGTAGTCATGGGACTGAATTCCCACTGTCTCTTAAACTCACTCCACTGGGTATTTTTCCCTCATGACTCCACTAAAATGTTCTAGTTACGGTCACCAATGGTTTTTATGTTGCTAAATTTAACAGTTATTTTTCAGTCCTTGGCTTGCTTAATCTACCAGCAGGATCTGTCCCTATTGACACTTTATTCTCCTAAAGTCACTGTCTTTACTTGGCTTCCATGACATTCCTCTCTTGGTCTTCCTCCTCCTTCTCTGTCTCTGTCTCTCTTTTACTGATTTCTTCTCAATTCCATCACTTTTAACTATTGGGGTGCATACAACTTTTTATCCAGTGTCATCTTTGGTCTTGTTTCTGTCTTCAGGGAGTGAGACTTCCTGATGACCACAGACATTCTCAGGACTTGGAATACCATCAGTAGGACTTGGAATACCATCCTAAATATAACCACTCTTTAATAATTCGAGTTCAACCCTTCTCCCCTAAATCCAGACTAGAATCTGAAATTTTGTACTCAGAATATCTGCTTGAAAGTCTCTCAAGAGCATTTCAAGCTTATTATGCCCCAGACATGAAAGGAGTATCATGAATGGACAGAAGGAAGATCATGTCATGGAAGGAAAAGCAGGGTGAGAGACAGAATATGAAGACATGTAAGAAAAAGTGAAACTACAAGGAATGCAATCAGGGAACCCTCACCGAGACAGGGACATTTTGGAAAAGTCCTGAAGGATGGAGGAGGCAAGCCCTGCTGGAATTTGAGAGAAGAGGATTGGGGCAGAGGGACTCTTAGGGCACTCTCCTCCCAGCAAGGGCACCCCAGCATGTTCTGGAACAGCAGGATTAGGAAAAGAGGTCAGGAAGCCATGGAGAGCCCTCTAGGCTACCACAAGGATTTTGACTTTTACTCTGTGATAGATGGGGTAGTAACAGGGGCTAATGAGTTGCTGTGTGTAGAGTAGGTTGCAGGTTGGTGAGGTCAGAAGGAAGCACACTAGTTGTTTTACTAACTAATGCAAGGGACAAGATGACTTGGAACAAGATAACTGTAGCAGAGGTAGTGAGATGTAATCAGATCTGGGTACAAATTTTGAAGGCCAGCGTGGCAGGACTTGTTCACAGAGTTTATACTCAATAGGAGAAGAGAGTCAGAAAAGACAGCAATGATTCCCCTGATGCTGATCTTCACGGTAGAAAGAATAGAGTTGTTTTAATGAGATTGGGAAATTGAAGAAGCAGCAGGATTGAGGTACAAACACAGGTTGGAGGAAGCATGGCATGATGATAACATTAAACAAAACACCACTTCATGGTTTACTTGGCAGAAACTCCTTTTCAGCGGAAAGTGTAATTTCATGAATGTGGCTATTTGAACTGCATAGTAGAAGTTTTAGTATTAATAATAGAGGTCATACAAGAAAGGGTGATCAACCGCATCCAGGGAGGTCATAGAAAGAGTTGTAAAGGATGTGAGGTTGGACCAGGCGTGTTTCGAATAAATAAGAGGTCAGAAGCCTCTGGAAACAAGACAGAGCTAGAGTTGGCTGTTCCAGAAAGAGACAGTAGCTGAAACGAAGGCAAGAATTCAGGAGTTTATCCACGACCTCTGGCAAGTTTTTCTTGCAAAAGAGATTTAAGAAAATAAGATGGAGATAAGTGGAAAATTGATTGGGGCCTTGATATAAGGGAAGAATGTAATACAAGTGGGGATGGGTGTTGAGAATGAAGTTTGTTATCTGCTTGGGGCCAGGTGACAAGTTTTGTTCATGACATTCTGAACTGGGTCTTTTTGATAAGATTTATGAGGAAATGAAGGGTGAGGACCTTAACTCTGGTCCTCTAGAAAAATTAGTGTTCAGAACTGACCAGCTATTATCAAGGACACATTGGCATGATTCCTTTTTTAACTTAGAAGTCAAGTGTGAATAATGGTGATGAGAAAATGCAAACTCCTTGAGCCTTCAAAGAGTTCTGTACCATGTTCTGCTACGATATGCATGCAGAGACAGGAGAGAGTTAGAAGTCAGTGGATTAATTTCAACTCTATTTTGTAATCATTGGCCTGTAATACTGGTCCCTCCTACCTTGTGGCTGGTAGAAATAAAAAAGGTGGGAGAGTCTTATCTGCTACTTGGCTCTCAGGGAGGCAAAGCCAGAAAGGCTGAGTCAGATTCACTGGGCTGTGGACCATGATGGATCTCAAGCACAGTCACTCCGTGAAGCTGAATGATGGACGCTGCATGCCAGTGCTCGGATTTGGCACTTACGCTACTGAAGATGTAAGTGGACCCCAGGGGTGAAAGGTCATGTCTTTTTTTGCACTGGGTGTGACAAGTTGTTGACTCCAGGGATAGGTTGATACTTTTGTGGGTTAATTCTCTTTTGTCTTCTTCTTCTTGTTTTCTAACATATATCAAATGCTTTCTAAATTTTCTGAGTGTTTTCCATGGCTGTCTTTAATTTCTAACAACATTCCTAATTAAGTGCTTATTATTCTTTCTTTCTTCTTTTTTTTTTTCTTGAGTTGGAGTCTCACTCCATTGCCCAGGCTGGAGTGCAATGGCATGCTCATGGCCAGCCCAGTGTCAACCTGCTGGGCTCTGGCGATCCTTTCGCCTCAGCCTTCCAAGTAGCCAGAACTACAGGTATGCGCCACCATGCCCGGCTAGTTTTTGATTTATTGTAGGGACGAGGTCTCATCAAGTTGCCCGGGCGGGTCTCGAACCCGCGGGCTCAGGCAATCCACAAGCCTCGGCCTCCCAAAGTGCTGGGATTACGGGCTGAGCTACCGAGCCCGGCCTTATTTCTATATTCTCAAACCAAGCTCAGGCCACTCTCTCTGCCCTCATCTTGTCCTGGACAGGGCGGCTCCTCTCTTGGTTAAAAACATAAAGGGCAGAGGTCCCAGGAGAACCTGGAAGGCAACGTGAAGACTGGCTAGCAGCCTTGTTGTGAGGCTGTTGGGGCCGGAAGCGTTTGCCAGAGAGTTTCAACCATCCAAACCTTTTGTTATATAAGAAGCCACATTATTCCAACCGTTCGGTATGAGGAAAGGAAGCTTAGGAGGTTAAGGTCATACCAGGGCCTGAATCATGCCTCTCCCCAACACATTATTCCCCATCCACACAAAGCTCTGCCGTGAACTTTAAGTGTCACACTCTGGTCACAGTGAGGGGGGAGCAACTTCGGGGTTGCTTTGCAGGGATTGCCCCAAATGACAGAGACCAATATGCCCAACCTTGGGAGAATTATGACATAAAATGTCAACAGATAACGTCTGTGAGACAGGGCCGGTTTCTTTTTAATAGCAAGAGTATCCATTTAATCCATGGTGATAGCTTCAGCATAAGGTCTTTCATACATTCTATCCAACTTTTATTACTGTTGTTAAAGACAGAACATGCCTTAGAGGATAGAACAAACCATTTCATAATCCCCTCTCTTATAAGAATAAAAGAAATATGTGCATGTTCTTAAAATTCAGATGTTATAAGAATATCATGTATAGAACATAATGCCTCCTTAATACTCTAATCTGTGTGTTTAACTGAGTCATTGCAGGAACGAGAGGCGTTCCAGGGTGTGTGCTATGCTTTCCTTTGTTTGCCAAGTATATTGTCTGAGAAACAATGCTAGGGCAGAAAATCAGATTTAGTCACAAAACCATTCGCTGCTTGACCCTTGAGGCCGACAGTGTATATGCCACCCTCTGGACTTTGGCCACAGGCAATGCCAGCTGGTGACGTGCGGCCTGTGTGCTGTGTGTGCTGAAGACCACCTGTTCGGTCGTGTGGCAATCAGCCCTCTGGGCTTCTGTTTCTGCATCAGGCTGCTCTCAGTGTGACTGTTCCTGGACCTGGCTCTGGGGTTCCTTCCTCTCAGACTTTCCACAGAAGCTCTGACACTGACCAAGGGTCAGCCTCCTAGAACCTCTTGCACGGAGAACTAGTGTGCTGATTTTAGTCACTTTAGAGGGTGAGATGTGCGGCACGTGGGAGGCACGCAACAAGCGCTTGTTTTGTAAATGCTGAATGAGATGATCTGGGAGTGAGGGCTGAAAAGAATCACAGATGCCGCGCCGGGCCCCGTGGAACGGAAACTGAGAAGGTGGGGTATTGTGGACTGACTTCCAATTGTTAGCCAAAAAGTGGTACTTCAGGTAAGTTAATCCTTGAACAACCCGAAGGTCAGGAGCGCCAGGCCCTAGGCAGTCAAATGTCAGTGTATACATTTTTATTCCCCCAAAACTTGAGAATTAATAGCTTACTATCAATTCTGGGCAGGGTAGTGCGTGCCTGCAGTTCCGGCTACTTGGAAGGCTGAGGTGGAAGGATCTCCTGAGCCCAGCAGGTCAAAGCTGTGGTGGCCAAGAGCGTGCCACTGCCCTCCCTGGGCAACATAGTGAAACTCCAACTCAAAAGAAAGAAAAAAAAGAAAATATGGCACGTGTCCCTTGACCATGAGCCTTACCTCTAACATAAACAGTTGATCAACACATATTGTGCGTGTTTATGTACTGTAGACCGCATGCTCACAATAAAGCAAGCTAGAGAACAGATAACATTCGTGAGACAATCATAGGAAAGAGAAAATACGTTTGCGAATCATTGAGTGGAAGAGACGCATCATGAAAGTCTTCGTCTTCTTTGCCTTCACACCGAGTAGGCTGAGGCTGAGGTGTGACTTTGGCCTTTTGTTTTAAGTTTTGAGAGTTGTGGGGTCCGTGTGGGGATTGGCTACTTAATAAATTGCGTGCAGGTGGGGCTTGGGCTTCTGGTGAGCCCTCTCTCCTCCTGGTAGTGGACGTGGTACCCACCCATGGTACCCCATGCTGGGCACAGTGGGTAGTTGTGTGCCCCTCCTCCTCACCTCCCCCCCGCCCCCCACCTAGCAGTGCTGAGTGTCAGTTGTTCCCACCTTTGTGCTCATGTGCCCCATGTTTAGGGCCCATTGGGAGTGAGAACATGCGGTGTTTGTCTTTTTTGTTGTTTGTTTCTGTGAGAGTCTGCTTAGAATGATGGTCTCCACATGCTGAAAAGGACATCATTTTGCAAAGTATTCCATCCTGTACACGTACCACATTTTCTTTCTTTTTTTTTGAGTTGGAGCCTCACTCTGTTGCCCAGGCTGGAGTGTGGTGGCACGCTCATGGCTACCGCAGCCTCGACCTGCTGGGCTCAGGAGATCCTTCCACCTCAGCCTCCCAAGAAGCTGGAACTACAGGTGTGCCCGGCTAATTGTTTTTTATTTATTATAGAGATGAGGTCTTGCCAAGTTACCCGGGTTGGTCTCGAACCCCTGGGCTCGGGCAATCCTCTTGCCTCGGCCTCTCAAAGTGCTGGGATGACAGGCTTGAGCCACTGCACCCCGCCCACATTTTCTTTATCCAGTCCACTTTTGTTGGGCATCTGTGTTGGTCCCACGTTTTTGCTTCTGTGAATAGTACTGCAATGAACATACATGTGTAGGTGTCTTTTGGGTAGCGCCATGTATATTCCTCTGGGAATTTTCCCAGAAGAGGGATTGCTAGATCATGTGGAAGCTCAGTTATTAGTTCTTTGAGAAGACACCATACTGCTTTCCACAATGTTGAATTAGCTTACATTACCACCAGCTGTGTAGAAGTGTTCCTTTTTCTTCATATCCTCACCAACACCTGTTGTTTTTTTAACTTTTTAATGATAGCCGTCCTGACCAGTGTGAGGTGGTATCTCATTGCAGTTATCTTTTTAACTTAAAAAAATTTTTTTTAATTTTAAAATTGTGGGGTACAATTCAGGGTTAGGTATACAAATGTTCATTGTGCAGGTACCCTTGTTGAGGAGGTGTGTCACTGTAGTTTCCATTTGCATTTCTCTGACATTAGTGAAGTTGAGCATTTTTTCATATTTTTTTTGCTGCTTGAATGTCTTCCTTTGAGAAGTATGTGGACTGACGATTAAGTTTGCGAGCTCATCCTAGAAAAAGTGCTCCATACCTCATTGCTGGATATCATGACGGTCACCTCCGGAGTACTCCCCTTGGGAAGCTCTGCACCGATGCCAGCACCTAGTCCACGTGTCAAAGCAACTATGGAACTCTTTTTTCTGGAATGGGCATCAGAACTGTCTTCATGAGAATATCAGAGTTTAAATCAGAGCAACAAACACTAAACTTGGCAAGAGTGGAAGTAAAATCAGGGATGTGTTAATCCAAATGTATGGGGATAATGCCATGAAGAAATGGCAGGGTACAAACGGATGATTGAACTTTTTCTAGGGGGACAGAAAACACCACTGATGAAGAGAGGTCAGGATGGCCAGTAATGAGAGAACTGACGAAAATATTGCAAACATTTGTCAAATTGTATGTCAAAATCATGGACTGGGCTGGGTGTAGTGGCTCAGCCTGTAATCCCAGCTCTTCGCGAGGCCGAGGTGAGAGAATTACCTCAGCCTGGGGGTTCAAGACCAACCTGGGCAACTTGGTGAGACCTCATCTGTACAATAAATCACAAAAACTAGCCAGGTGTGGTGGCGTGCATCTGTAGTTCCAGCTACTTGGAAGGCTGAGGAGGAAGGATGGCTGGAGCCCAGCAGGTCAAGGCTGTGGTGGCCATAGCATGCCTCTGCACTCCAGCCTGGGCGACAAGAGTGAGACTCCAACTCAAAAAAAAAAAAAAAAAATTACGAGCTGACTGAGAAGCACAGCAGAGCAAATACACATTGACAGAAAAACAGTTAGGGAAATCTTAGCTGAAAATCTTGGCATGAGAAAGGTGTGTGCAAAAATAGTCCCAAAGGGACTCTTGTATCACAACAATGCACCAGCTCCCACAGCACTGTCTGTGCAGGAGTTTTTAGCCAGTAAACAAATAACTGTATTGGAACAACCTCCCTACTCACTTGAGCTGACCCCCAGTGATTTTCTTCTTTACAAAAAGTTAAATAAAATATTGAAAGGAAGACCTTTTGATGACATTCTGGACACCAGCAGTAATATGACGACAGCTCTGATGGCCATTGCAGAAAAAGAGTTCCAAAATTGCTTTGACAGGTGAACTAGGCACTGGTGTCGGTGCATAGCTTCCCAAGGGGGAGTACTTTGAGGGTGACCATGGTGATATTCGGGGCAATGAGGTATGGAGCACTTAGTCTAGAATGACTTTGCGTAGTTAATTGTCAACGCTTGTATCTGTTCATGTCCTTTGCCTGTTTTTTAATCGGATTATTTTATTTTTTTTCCTGTCAATTCATTTGACTTCCTGGTAGATCTTGGATATCAGGCCTTTGTTGGATGCATAATTTGCAAATTGTTCTTCCCATTCTGTGGCTTATCTCTTTACTCTCTTGGTGAGTTCTTTTGCTATGCAAAAACTTTTTAGCCTGATAAGTTTACACCTGTCAGTCTTAACTTCTGCTGCATTTGCTTTTGAGAACTTGGCCATGAATTCATTGCCTGTTCTGAGTTTTTGTCTAAGATTCTTATAGCTTGGGATTTCACATATAAGTCCGTGATCCATTTTGAATTAATTTTAGTATACTAGAAATTAGGTAGGTGGAGCTCAGTTTCATTTCTGCTTGCCAGTTTTCACAGCACTATTTGCTAAACATGGTATCTTTACCCCAATATTTGTTTTTGTCAGCTTTGTTGAAGATGACTTGGTTGAAGATCTGTGGTTTTACTTCTGGATTCTCTGTACTGTTCCATTGGTGTATGTGTCTATTTTTGTACCAGTGAGATGCTGTCTTGGTTACTGTACCCTTGTAGTAAAGTTTGAGGTCTGGAAGTGTGATGACTCCAGACATGTTCTTTTTGCTGAGGAGTGCTTTAGCTATTTGGGTTCTTTTTTTGCTTCTATATTAACTTTTCTGTATTGTCTTTTCTAGGTCTACACAAAATGTTGCTGGTAGTTTGATAGAGATTGCGTTGAATCTGTAGATTGCTTTGGGTAGGATGGACGTCTTAAAGATATTGATTCTTATAATCCATGAGCATGGGATATTCTTCCATTTGTTTGTTTCTTCTTTGATTTCTTTGAGTAGCATTTTGCAGTTTTCATTATAAAGGTCTTTCACCTCTTGTTAGATGGATACTGAAGTGTTTTATTTTTTTGTGGCTATTGTGAATGAGACTGTGTTTTTTGTTTGGTTCTCAGTCTGCTTGTTGTTAGTATATAGAAATATTCTGTGGCAGGGCTCGGTGGCTCAGCCTGTAATCCCAGCACTTTGGGAGGCTGAGGCGAGTGGATTGCCTG